ACACCTAAACCTTTGCATTAGTGAATTATATTTTGTTGTCTTAAAGTGAAGTATCTTGCTTGATGATACTTGAATTATTTACTATAAGTTAAACACAAACGCGTTTGGACAGTGCAACACATGCTGTACGGGTGTTACATAAGAGTTGGACACTGAACAACTACTTCTAAAAGTGTATGTGCTCTATAGCTAAACATATTTCCCAAATTAATACTCCCTTAATTTCTACAAAACTATTATATAATATGTTCTATATTAATGCACGTTGAAATGCATAATATGTTTAGTCAATGTTACTATATATGTCATACACTACTTAATGGGTTTGTGTATTTGTGATGTACATGATCACAATAAATAACATCTTTGGCTAATATGACCATGAATGTTTAAAAAAACTTTTAATGAAATTTATTTGCAATGTCAAATATGGAATATGAAATTGAATTGTCATGTGATAGGAAAATGAGCCTAATTTTGTTTTCTTTACAACTATCCTATATGTATAGAGTGGTTTCCAATCATCCTATATGTATAGAGTGGTTTTCAATGAAGTGAAATGTGAAAAAATGGTATACTAATTTTTGGGGAATACTCTTTTCACCTTTAAGGGTGATAAATTGAAATTGTCCTTAATGCATTCAAAGATGTATCTCCGAACACATCTAAAATTACAAAATCTTTGTCTTTCTTATATTTACCCCATTTAAAATAAAATATGATCTGGAGATGCATCTTCGTATGTTATTTGGTTGTATCTGGAGATGCTTCTCCAAAATACTATACGTATACAATTGTTATTTTTCATTCACTAAATTTGATATTTTGAGGCAAACATATTTTAGGTCATTTTTAAGCTATGAATTAGAATAAAAATGCATACATTAATTGATTCAAACATAGTATACAATTATGAAAAAAGTCATACAATTATCAAATGTACTGATCATATATAACTTGTTTATAAAATACAAAATAATACAATCAAACAAAAACCTACTAGGCATGTCTAACCCATGCCTAACCCATGCCTTTATCATCAATGCATTATAGGCCTTAACATATGCCTTCCACGAGGGCTAACTAGGAACTGATATCATAAAAAGTCAGGCCTCTATGTTTGATCTCCCCATCTCCACAATACACTGATAGACCGTCGATACGTCCTCAGTGTGGTCATCCCTAGCCTCAAGTACATGCTAATTAGCTGACCTCGATGGTCTTTCAAGAGCGTCTGGTGTCATGATAGAGTGTGACACCTTATAGAACCATGTCATGTAGTCGTCAGTATAAGCCCACTAAAAAGGAGCTAGCACTCTATGATACTTCTCTAGTACCAAGTGACTCTCTAAATCCTCCAGTATTGCATCAAGGTCTCTGCAACATACGATGGGAGGAACATACTTTGTGGGGGGTCTCGAAATAATCTCCAAATAGTCAAACCAATGCATCACTCGCTCGAGAAGATAATGATATATAAGAGATGACCTACATGCCAATCATCCTGAGTATAAGGAAATGATGTCTAATAGATGCGTCTTGTGGTGACCCCCATATAGACAGAAGGAAATTTCATCTGGTACATAACAGTCAAGATACACTCGGAATGGCTCGATTGCATCATTCCCCCTATACAGGATAAAGACAACAACACGTGGCTAATCCTCAGTGTAGGCAGACACAACTTCCCACCCAGTGATGCAAGGGAAGCGAAAGATGATTCATCCCTAAAAATGTTTCAGATACAATGTTAATAACGAGTATAATAAATGAATTATGAAAATATTAGTGACATTAGATTACAGTAAGCAGCGTAAAACTCCCCATTATCTGCTTTGTCTTCCAAAGATAACCCTCACCCAACTTCGAGTATAGGTAGACCAAACAAACGACCCTAGGTTGTACTCGTGAACTATCATCAAGTCGGTGAACTACTGAATCTACCAAACATTTCATCTACCATCTCCTTATCTTTCATTTCAAAGGTTTCGATTTTTGTACATCCATGTTTATTCTTTCTTCTTTGACGTGGCTGGTTCCTTCATGATGTATTTGTAGAGCATCCCATATTTTTTGCTGTTATGAATTCTTCTATTAAGTCGTATTCTTCCCCGCTCAAAGCACATGATAAATTAAATTGATCTTTAGAGTTTAAAAATACATTATCACTTTCATCTTTGTTCCATTCAGTTTGAGATTTTGGAATTGAAGGTGTTGTTTACATTGAAGTAGTCATTTGTATGAAATTTCCATTCTTAACTACCGACATATATTGTCGTCTTGATATAGGAGGAATAATATCATTTTCCTTTTCCAATAATAGTAGTCAGATCCGATGAAGAATTGAGGTATGTGAGATGATCCTCCTTCAGATGTGAACTTTGTTTGTTCAATAATCTTTTCTGGATCTTTTGCTCTAATATTGTTAAGTATTTTTGTTCAAAAACCACACTCTCATACCAATTGAAGTAAATAAAGATGTCACAAGAAGGGGAGTTGAATTGTGACCTCCTAAAAGTTATTATCCATTTCCTTAGATCTGTTAATCAGGATCTTAAGAATTTCTTTTAAAGAAAAAAGGTTAGTGTATCAATTTAACACTTGTTATTATATGTGTGATATATGTAAAGTAAATGATACATTAATGGAAAAGATTTTAGAAGAGATACCCACAAAATTTATAATGGTTCTCCAATATGGCTAGTCTAGTCCTCACGTTGTGTGAGCATTTTTTACTAATGCTTGAAAATGAAGATGTTTTCCAAGTGAGCACTTTTCAACTATGTATTTTCTTAGCCTCGTCAAGCTTACACAACTGATTAATATGACTTTCGGTAAGCTTACACAAAAACTCCAAACTTTTTTATATCACTTGAAGATATATAGTTACTGTAAAAAAAATTCTTTCAAAGATTCTTTGAAATTTTACCATAAGGTAGTGAGAGGTTGAATTGAGTATCTTATATAGTGTGTATTATGGTGTTTGAAGGTAAGTAATAATTTTTGCTTTAGAATGATAATGAATCTTCTTTGTCTTTTTCTCAAGTGTAATCCCACGCCTATTTATGAAGAAATAATTTTGTATTTTTAGGCAAAAAGTGAAGGTGTTGTGTCCTCGAATTTTAGGCACATGTTTGTAGTATTTCTTTTGTTAGAATGAGTTCTCGTACTTTCATTATGATAGAGTCTTGATTTGATGTGTCAATAAGTTTTATGTCAAATTAATGGTGCAAAGCTGACGTTATATGTACTTGAAAGCTGAGTATTATGTCTTTTATCTAAATGAGTCATCTAGTTCATTTTGCATGACTGAATTTCCTAATTTCAATTTTGTGCATCAACTTTGCGTCACGTTATTGTTGCAGCACTGACATCATGTATGTGTAGTTGTCATCATGTGTTTGTATTTTGGAAGTTGACTTTTGTCTTTTCGTGTAGATGAGTCCTCTAGTTATTTTTAGCATACTCGAGTCCTCTAATTTACTTGATCTATTTTGTTCATACATCTTTAAAACATATTTCACTTTAACTTTCTTGAGTGACCAAGACTTGAATAAACTTGTCTTAAGATATTAAATATATAAGCACAAAACATGATTTTGTTATATCTTTTGTTATCCTGAAAACTTGTTTAGATTTAACACTTCCACTCCATTTTGAATCCAAGTATCCATTTTTTTCCACCTTATTAACCAAGTTCTTCTTCTAAAAAGAAGATAGTGTTTGAATCTCTTTATAATTTATTATTCTATCCGTCTCATAAAAAGTGTCACATTTATAACTTTTTATTGTCTTAAAGTAATTGTTTTTTTTATAATACTAATACAATATTTATTATTATTTTTACTACAATATCCTTATTTATTGACTTTCACTCGAGTAAACTGCTTTATTGACTATAATTAATAATAGTATTTTAATAAACGATATTAATTATATTATTAAAATTAACACATCTAATTATTTTTTTAAAAATTGAGTAAATAAAACACTTCCCATGAGATAAAAGAAGTGAATTCTAAAGGTTGTTTTTAACTTACTTTACAATTTTATTCTGATAACAATCAACTTAAGGTAGGAAAACTTGTAATGCAAGTAGGAAGTGTTTTCACAAATTAAACGAGCCTCCATTCCATTTTGTATTTATGTTGTATACAGCTGTGAACTTTTATAGAAGAATGTTATGCTGGAGTTAATTTGTCTTAGCTGTTTTAGCCAAGCCAATGAGATGCTTTATTAGTGGAGATTGTCTCCAGTGTAAAGTTTTTCCAGTTAAATCTTAACCATACAAAAATATTAACAAACAAATGAAATTGGATTTTTAATGGTGGATATATAGACTGCTCCCTTTCTACTGGAGAGAACCATTGCCCTTTTAGTATGGTAAGTAGGTAAAAATTATATTTTCAATCTGATTATGTTAAATATAAATAATCTTACTGGTGGAGATTTTTATTTTGAGACAAAGAGAGTATTTTTATTATCACACATCATTTATGAAAAAATTAATTGATATGATAAAATACTCACTTTATCTTAAAATAATTATTTTCTAACTATAAAAAATTGTTTCAAAATAATTTTTTTATTTTCTCAATAGATTAACTTTTATCAATTTTATCATTTGTTTGTATTCTTTTTAAATTATAATAATATATAACAATTAATAGTAGTTAAGAGTAATTTTTTTGTAAAAATATTATTTTTATTGATTCAATTATTGCTTTTCTAAATTTGTATGTAAGAATTCTAAAGGACAATTATTTTGAGAAAGAGAGTAGAAGAAAAACATTTTGTTTTGAAAACAAAACAAAAAAGAAAGGGAGAAAATAGAAAGAAGAATGTAAGAAGACAAGGTTCATCCAGATCGGTGGTAGTACTAGTGTGTAACAGTTGTTTCCGTTGCAAAACTCATTCCGCAAAATTTCAAACACTCTCTAGTCTCTCCTTTTCTCCGCCTCTTCCATTACCAAGTAACACTCACATTTCCAATTTTAACCATGCCCACAACACAAACCTTCGTTTTTCCGTGGCACCTCCCCCTCTTTCTTTTTCTGATCCTTTCTCCGTTTTGCGGCGGCTCCGGTGCCGGAGACGCTACGAAACAGGAGCTATGGTGCGTGGCCAAAAACAACGCGGAGGATGCCGCTTTGCAGACGGCACTTGACTGGGCCTGTGGTGCCGGTGGAGCAGATTGCCGCCCAATCCAGAACGGAGGACCTTGCTACGATGTTAACAGTGTTCAGAATACGGCGTCGTTTGCTTTCAATGATTATTTTCTCAAGAACGGTTTGACCGATGATAGCTGCAATTTCAGCAACAATGCTGCTGTTACTTCCTTGGACCCTAGTCAGTATCATTTTTTCTCTCTCTACTTCAATCTGGTTTTATTTTTTTTTATTTAGGTGTATCTGAAATGCATGTAATGTAGCTTTTGTAATGAATAAAAATTCCGTCTTTGAGGGTTTTTGGAAGATTTTTGCTTGTTCTATTGTGCAGAACTTTTACTCTCTTCTGGGTTTTTGATTTTCAGGTCATGATAAATGCAAGTTCCCATCTGGGTAAGTGTTTTGTAATTAGGGTTGTAAAATTGATTTTGAAGGTGTTTTGATCTATGATTCAAACTATTTTAGATAGAAATTGATCTAAAGTAATGAATGCATCTCTGTATCAACTTGGAGTTTCAACAATTTGGGGCTTCAACAAAATCACAATGTAACATTTGAGTATATTGAACTGTGTTGTGAATTGCATCTCTGCATCTCTGATACATTTTTTGCTAAACATGTTGTGAATTAAGATGAAATTTTAAGTTTTAATAGAATGGGACTTCTAGGTTTGGATCTTAATGTATGGAGATTGTTGATTGTGAAGGTTTAACTGGAGCCCTATTTTTTGGTGAAGCAGTTTGGCGGCGATCAATGGAAGTTCTTCTGGATCAAAATCATCACCGTCTGCTGGATTGGGACCCAGCGGAAATGTGAGCGGATGCAGTAAAGCTTCTTGGAGGTGGCTGTTCTGGCTCTCGGGCGTCACTCTCATGGTTTCACTTTATGCATAATAATAGAAGATGAAAATATGCACGGATTGTATGAAGGAATGGCAAGAGAAAAAAAACTTTCCTTGTTTTTGTTCAGGCTGCACAGGTTAGAAATTTTAGGAATATCAAATTGGATGTTACTATCGATGTAGAACATAAGTGATGAATATATTGCTTCTTCTCAGGTAGTACTGTTTTCGAATATGTATCTTTGCTGGTATGTTTGAAATTAAAGTAGACCAATTTGAAAGAGATTTGTGGTTGGTTACAATTACAATTTTTGTCAAATTTGTAGCTTTGCTGGTCTGTTTTCAGGTAAGTGTTTCCGTATATGCTATATCTATAACAAAATATAAATTGAAGCGGAACGGTTTTGATATAAGCTACAAGTTGTTTTTAGAAGTATTGCTTCTTCTCAATCATTAGTTTTGAAATTAAAGTAGGCCAATTTGCATGAGATTTGTGCCTGGCTACCATTTTTGTAAATCTTTGAAGATTTGGCTTGAGTCATTGCATCTTTAACAAAAGGAAGTTCATTCTTAGTTTCATCCATGTTAACATGTCACATGATCTGATCTGATTTGTACACAAAATTTTGCTGGTTTACTGTAGAAATTTGTCACGGACCTAATTTACTGTAGAAATTTACAAAGAATATGAATAACATATGGTTCAAATGATTTGGATTATAGACTCTTGTTGATAAGTTTCATTTTTTTCATGTTTTTTTATATTTGTATAAAATATGTGGTGTAGATTTCACAGGAGAAACATTCCACTGGAGTGAATCTCCTCCCGTTCAGATGCACTGGGAACTGCAAAAACATAAAGAATACCGGAAAGAAAAAGAATAGGATCATAAAAATGATGTTGCTTATGTTTGGATACGCATTTGAATTTCTATTTGCACGTTGAAGGGTATCCCACCGTGAAAAAGAGAAGCTACAAAGTGTAAGTGTAGCTTCTTGGTTAGACGCACATTTGTGGGGTTTCCACTGCATAAACAAACATATCAGTTGTAATTCAACAAAATATCTTTGCACGTATAAAACATACTCTCTCCGCAATAATTTATAAGTCACATTCATCTTTATGAGTTGTTTTTCTTATCCATTATGTTGGAAATCTAGCAAAGTTTATGGAGAATTTTTATCAATCTTGATGAACAAGATTGTTACCAATACACAATAACAATGAAAGAAAGAATTAGGGTTTACAAAAATAAGGGGAAGATAATGATGATTTATGCAGAGTATCTCTCTGTCTACAAACTATGGAAAATCTTGTTCACTTTTTAACTGAAAAATTATGTGCATACAAGTTCTATTAAATAATATGGGTTACTCTTTCTATTTATAGTTTTAAGTTAGCTTTCTCCATATGGCGAAACCCAAAATACAAAAGTCCAAAATACCTATTTTAGTCCAAGTCGAAATCCTGTGTGAAGCCACCTGCTTCAACACTTCGACATTTTATACAACTTGACACTCATTAGACTGTTTCGACATACCCTTGTTCTGTCAAGTAACATGTTGCTTCGACACAAGGGGATTACAATCTCAACACACCACTTTCATTGTGTCTAAGCTATCTACATTCATCATAACTCTTAGTCTTTTGAATACTTCGACCTGCACTCTCTTCACCATGATGTCTACAATCTGATTCTCAATTCTACAGTGTTTCAAGTTCATCTTCCCATTTTTCTATCTGCTCACGAAGATAATGAAACCTCATTTCAACGTGCTTGCTGTTGCACCCCAAAATTTGCCCTCCTAATTTCTTTTATCTGGCTTAGAATTTTACATTCATCTGCATATATTCCGTTAGGTCACTAACAGAGTATACATATACGTCCAATAAGGCATTTGAGGTTCAGGGTTCAGTAATCATACAAGCAGAGTTCACATGGTTTTAGGTGCTTACTTCACACAAGCTTGGTTCTATCAAAGACTTATTGGTCTCGAATTGGGATTTGATCATATGGTCACTTTGAAATTCATATTCAACTTCATGCAAGGGTTATCTTCACCAAGGCCTACTTGGTCATGGAGTAGGATTTATTTCCCTATGTTTGGGTTTATCAGATGAATTTGGCAAGGCTAATAGTCAAAGGTTCTTCATCAATGACTAGCTAGGGTTTTCTTTCGACCTTTCTTTGTAAATCGAAAGGGGGAACTTATTACTTAAGCCACAAGCTATGTGATCGGAAACTTCATGCAGAAGACAAATGTGGATATATTGGTGCCCCACTTTACCATTTGAGCTTTGTTTATCATTGATTCAAATAAATTCTTCCAATTAACTATGATGCTTGAGGATCAAGATGTTACATTGCTTAGGCAATACAAGTTATCTCTTTGGTTCTCACACAAGGCTTTGAGGTGAACGTGGTGTATTGGGTCATAGTTGCATCCAAGGTTTTGACAATATCTTACTTGAGTTCCCTTGATTGACTAAGAGTATCTTATCTCATGATGTGATATATTAAAGGATGCAATTTGAAGCAAAATTTGAAATGTTAAAAGAAGCTTTTGGAGGGAAAGAAAGATTCAAGTCTTATTTCATCTCTAAGATACCAAGCATCACAAAACTCATCCGAGAAATATTGAAGAATCCAAATGAAATACAATGTTATGAAATCAAGGTTCAAGATTGCAAATTGGAGAAAATATTAGATGCTTGAAGGTTCATTCAAATTGAAGCATAGTGGAGGGAAATTCAAACTTTATCATTTTTTTAAAAGAAGTCATATTCCCCTATATGAATCAAAGTTATACTTCAAATCCAATTTCAATTGTCATTACAATATTGAAAAAAATAGAAAGAGATTACACTTTTGACCAATTCTACAAAGTTCACATTAAGCCTACAATCTAATCTTCATCCTTCAATTTCTTTACCAAGTCTCCTTTGACTCTATCTTGCACGTCCTTTCTTCAAGCCTTATCCTCCATGGTCCCGCCCTTAAGTCATTCTGCAACCTACACAAAAATATGAGAGAATTAACAACAAGGATGTTAATTAGCCGACAGTCCATTTCTTTAGAATATATGATGGCCACGATGCTCTCAAGAGATAAATTGTTGTTGTGATTGTATGCATTTGGCTTTAGCTGAGGAAGTAGAATTGTTCAAAGAAGGTCTAATAATTGGAAGTACAAAGGATAATTGTCAAGATTTATGAAAAGGTTTTCACTAATTGTATTTTGAAGGTTGATAATGAAGTTGGGAAGAAAGTTAACGGTGAACCTGTTGCACTAGGAACTGTTGGTTCCACTAATGTTGTAGCTACTGTTTGTTCATCCCATATTATAGTTTCAAACTGTGGTAATTCCAGAGCGGTTTTGTACTGTGGTAAGGAACCAACCTGTTGCATTTTTCAAATAATTGCCTGCATATTATCCAAAAAAACAAGAGTTCATCAGAAATCCGGAGTAAAAACTACACTGTAAATCGCTTTACATTATTTTTCAGTGGACGGCCTGCTTACAGTCTTAAAACAGTGTGGGGTTTGATCAAAACAGAGATTACAAGATGAGTGCAAAGGGAGTACAAGTTTTCTATAAAAAAAATTGCTAATTGAAATCAAAAGTCAGATTCATAACAAAGTGTTTACCCTAGTTGCTTATGCTAACAGAGAAAAATCAGGACAAATAAATAGCTCAGCTTCACATAAACACGAGATCAATCCACGATATCCAAGCTAAGTTTTCAAAACTAACTTTCCAACTCATTTCCTAACCAAAATTCCTAAGATTTCTACAACTAACCTATAACTGTCATAACCTAACAGCTTACTAATCTAACAGAACTTTCAAACAGGATCCCAACTTCTCCTAACTGATTTCATAACAACCTCTAACTAACTTCTAACAACTCTAACTATATAACAGAAAACTCACCTTTATCACATGATTCGGGATTCATTCTTCAGGATCACAGAAAAAATCACATAAACTTTCTCTCCTCCTTTCACCTTCATCTTCGTCATTCTTCACAGTTCACTGAAAAAACCTCCTTCAAACTTCTCTCGGCTCTCTCTCCATAACCGTTCTGCATCTTCAACCTTCCTTGATTCGTTATCTTCATACACCTTTAATCTTCATCAACAACCGCAACACCCCCTTCTGCTTCACCAAATCTATTCCATATCAAACGCGTCGCAATCGCAACAACAACAACAATGATCAACATCTACATCCTCTGCAATCTTCATGTAGCTTCATCATCACCATTCTTCAACCTTTAGGAAAAATAACAAAAATCTTCAATATCCATCTCCTTCAAACTTCTCTGCATCCATCAACTGTATCACTCCGTTGATCCATCTTCAATATCCGTTGATCTACGTCGAATGTAACGGAAACACAGTGAGAACATATTCACGAGCAGCATCACACAAGAAACTCAAAGAAGCGGGGAAAAAGGGGAAAAGTGAGTGTGTATTTGAATATCTCTGGATTTCTGTTCAGATTTCTTGCTTCAAAGAGCTACCAGAGTATCTCTGATCAAACAACGGTGAAAGATCGCTGGATGACAAAATCGCGATGAAACATTCACGGTGAAGAGATTGTAGCGAAGCGAAATTTTTGAAAGTAAGGCAGAGATGTGAACGAGCAAATCCAAACGATGATGAATAGCGATGTGGAGAGGCCGTGAGCGGCATTCGAAAGATGAAGAAATTTGTGTTTCGTGTGAATTTGAACAACCACAATCCTTAACTCTATCTTCATTCTTTGCTCTTTTATTTTTATTGTCTGAATTTTTTTGCTTATAATAAAAGTAATATCAGTACAAAAATATGATAGTAATTTTTGTTGGTAGGATGGGCTGACTGAATCACTCTCCTGGACCTGCTACGATTCCTTTTTTTAAACCAATTTCCTTGAACTAAAAAAACACCATGGATCATCTTTGGGCTGGGCCTTAGTGCTATTTCTGAACATAACCCCTATACAGATTTCATACTCCATTTGCTTTTGATTTAAATTTTCTTTCCGTAGCATGTTTCTCGCCATGATTTTGATTAATTTTCCACATGATAAAAATGATACAAAAAATTGTAAAACATTTTAGATTTTTTTTTAGATTATCTCTTTAGAATTTTATTAGAATTTTCTATTATTGTTTAAGTTTAATAATCATTTTTGTTGCCATTTTTTTTAGTCAAGATTTTGTGATAGAATGTAGATGTAGCTTTCGTGATATGGAATACTTGGGGACTAATTCGTTTGATCACTCGTGCAAAGCAGCTCATGTAGAGTTTTCTTATCGCTTGCGTGGTTTTGAAGAGGCAACATACCTTCTCCGTTCGGTATCATCGTGACCTTAATTTATCCCTTATTTTCGCATTTTATCATACTTCTTTACCGCTTTTCTAGATATCATGAGAAGTAGGGCTTCACTGCTTTCTGATGCCATGAGAAGTAGGGTAGAGATGTATGACGGGGGTCTCCGTTGCTGATCATGTCAGGAACTCCTCTGGTTTATTTAAAGACCTGTTTAGGGCATTTCTACATCATTTGCATTCTGTTTGCTACTTGTGTATGGTTTGTTTAAAACCCTACCTTTGAGTAGGTATTCTGCAGATGTGTTTATCTTTGTGCCCGCATATTACAGATGATAAGTCTTCAAAAGGAGGCAAGTGGGGAGGGTCCGTAATCGACCCCCGCAATCTCGTATGTGTCATCATTAGCTCGTGACGCACCATGACACTTCAGAGTTGTGCTTGCTCTTGTGTATCGAGTCGTCAAGTGGGGAAGGGTTCTGCAATCGAACCATCACGCTTTGTTAAGAGTTCGCATTGGCGATGCTGATACTCTGTGATCGTTCATATTTCCTTATATCGCCTACCTCAATCTCCTATATCTTGGTTAGGTGTTCAGTCGCTTTGGACATCACATTTTGCTTTTTCATCCTACTCCCGCTTGTTTGTCTCGGGTGATACGCTCCCCTTGGCTAAAGCATTTCGATTCTTTTCCTTACCATTTTATATGTGTGCTCTCTTAATCTTATTGGCTTTCTTGCTTGATGCCATATTTGCATGCATGTTTTGAGATGATATACCCTCGACATGTTCCCTTAGGAGCTCTCGATTCAACTATAGATGATGATTCGAGATATATATAGTTTTAGGTGATAGCCCCTTGCTATGCTCCTTTAGGACTTCTTGATTCATCTATAGAGGATGATTTGAGATAGACATTAGGATTGTTATCCAAGCATGTCAACATAGGTTAGAGATTTCTCTTTAAAACCCAACCTTAGGATCAATCATTGTCTGATAACATTAGGGATAAATTTAGGTTAGTCTCTGTAATACGGTGGGAAAATTGACTTGGTTGTTTTGCGTTTGATCGTAATTGTTGAGGATAGCAAGAGTCGCCACCGACTTTTCTTTTATCCAATAAGGAAATGGTGAAAAGAACAGGAAAGACCTTTGAGATTATTTTCTTGATTTTGGGGGGTATATTATAAAAAGGGAAGGTATTAGCACCCTTTTTATCCATAGTTATCTATGGGCTCTTAGTTGCTTGCTAGATCATTTTTGCTTTGTTTGAAAATGTGTTTTTTGGTGGATTTTGAAAGTACTTTTGAAAAGCGCATTCGTTGAGGCAAACTTTGTAATGATTCTTGTCTCTATAAGAATGCATACAAAGTGTTGGACTTTTTTTTTTAAAAATAGTTCAAAGATATGTTTGTTTTTGAAGATGTTTTTGAAAGTGTGAGTGTGGAAATGGTTTTGATTTGCAAGCAAGCAACTAAGAATGTTCTATATACTCAAAGGTCTTTTGTTCACTTCTTCCTTCCTTTGATATTGCTATCTTACCATTGATTGGTAAGAAGCTTTATATTTGGATGTAAAGGGACGGGCGCGGGTCATCGTATAGTCATGAATAGCAATGTTGTGAGATATCTTAGCATTTCTCTTGAGGGACTAAGATCATTGGTAAGGCAATATTCGAAGCGTCATCGAGGGACTATGATCTTATATTTTTGATTGTTTTTGCTAAGATGTCTCACATGCATATTGTGATACGGTGGGAGAACTGACTTGAGTTTTGCGTTTTGTATTCGCACTTGTTCGGTTTAGCAAGAGTCGCCACCGACTTTTTATTTTATCCTAAAGGAAAGGTTAAAAAGCACAGGAAAAACCTTTTGAGATGTTTCGTGGGTTCGAGGGGTAGATTATGAAAAGGGAAGGTATTAGCACCCTTTTCATCCATGGTTATCCATGGGCTCTTAGTTACTTGGTTTAGATCACTTGCCTTTGATTTTCAATTGCTTGAAATGGTGGTGTGTGTGTGTGTGTGTTTTGAAAATGTTTTGAAAAAGATGCTTTGTCTGGGCAACCGTTGTAACAATTCTTTACTCGAATGTTTTACAAAGGTGTGTGTCTTTTCGAAAAGATATTTCAAATGTTTTTGAAAGTTTGTTTTTGAAAGTGTGTTGTGAAGTGGGTTTTGAAAAGTAGGCAAGTGTATTTTGCAAGTTTGATCAAGTAACTAAGAGTTGTCTACCCCTAAATTTACTCAAAGATTTTTCTCATGCTTTAACACTTTTAACAGTATTGTTCCACCATTGTATTTGGTGGACAATCTTGTATTAGGATGTTAACGGGACAGGCGCGGGTCATCGTATGGACCATGAATGCAATAGTGCCAAGTGTCTTTGGTAATTTTGCTTGAAGGGACTATGATCATTTCGTTTAGGCAACTTTCGAAAGCGTCATCGAGGGACTTATGATCATTTGATTTGTTTTTGTTTTGCCAAAGAAACTCAACGTGCAAGTATGGCCCATTTTGGAAGGCAACAAGCGGGAATACCCTAGGGGGTGCAAGTGTGAATTGTGTATTGATTGTCATGCATTTGTCTTGTATTAGGTTATCTAGCGGTTGATTTTATTTACATACAAACCCTAGGTCTAAACATGGTATAATTGAAAGCGATAAATTGCGAGAATTTAAAGTCTACGCTATTACAAATAAGTATCCGGGAATGGGGGTACAAATATTTACAAATGGGGATGAGACTTAATAGGAGAGTAGTGTCCAAATATATTTACAACCAAATTGAATCGCAATCGCAATGTAACATGTATCAATGTACAAGAATAAAAGATAAGCAAATATATTTGTGTAAGTGTATGTGACTTATTTACAAGTGATAAAATGTTAACTTGATGCAAAATCAAGTATTTTATTTATTCTTTTTGTGTTTTGTTAATTATGTACAAAACTAAGGATTTAATCAAAGAAAAGAAAATGTGTTTTAAGTTTGAGAAAATTATTATTTACATTTTAGTTTCTATACAAAAGTTTTTAATTAAAGAAAAGAAAAATGTTTCAAGTTTTAAGAAAATTAATGTTTTATGTATGAAAAAAAGATTTATTAAAAGAGTTTTAAGATAAAATCTATTAACCTAATTATATTTTTTCAATGTAATAAAATAAAAGAAATAATTAAGAAAATTTGTGTAAAAATGTGTCATTTTTTATTTAGCAAAAATATTATTTTAGATTATGTATAAAAATGATTAATATATTATTTTTATTTACAAAAAAAAACAAATTATGTTATAAAAAGAAAATAAAAGAGCATTAGTATAAAAAAGGTAAATGGGCTTGAAGGGGGTTAACTGGGCCCAAACAAAACAGGCAGGGTTAAGGAAAAAGGGGGGTATGCGCGCTGGAGTGCACTTGGGCTTAGGGATATGAAAGGGACAAGGCCCAACGCCTTGAGACATTTTTTTCTTAGGGTTGGCATTGTTTTGTTTCATTAGGGTAACAAATTAGGGTTACAACGCTTGAGAGCGGCGCTGTTCATCTTCTTCGCTTCCTTCATTCTCTTCATCTCCTTGAGCCAAACCTCTGACCTAACTCTTTCGCCCATGGCCACCAGGCGTCACCATCCGTCCCCTCTTCCCTCCTTGGTCAAGCGAGGCAATATTGTAAGGTGACGATTTTTGTTTTTAACGCATTTAGGGTTTCAAGTTTTTATATGTTATTGATTTCCCTTCCTTGCATGTCTTGATTCTTTGTGTGATTATTGGTTTCTTGTGAGGTATTTAAAGAGAGGAAAGAGTTTTATACCTTTGTTGGAGATGGAGGCTTTTGGAGATGGAGGAGGATCTGGAGGCGTCCTAGGGTGGCCAGGGCGGAGAGGTGTGATGTTGTGAGCTGGAAATCCGGTATTCAGTATTTCGCTTTTTTTGATGTTTTATGATGATTGTCTGAAAAATCTGAAAACGCTCATTTTCCTCTTTTGGATGCTTGCTTGTTTTTCAATGATGATTTGATTATGAGATTTTTTTGGTTTATTGTTTCACTTCTTTTCCTCTCTTTTGCTTGCTTGTTGAGATGCTTGTTGAGATGCCTTTGGTATATTTACTCTTTGCTTCTGAAACACTTGCTTCTGAAACACTTGCTTCTGTATGTTTATTGCTGAGTATTGTTGTTGGAATGTTGGCCCTATGATGAGCCTAGCTCTGAGGGCTTTGGCTCTGAAAGGCTTGAGACAGGCTTGGCTTTTAGGCTTTGGTTGGAAGTTGCTGGTTTGAATAAGGCTTATGCAGGTTGAAGCTTTTTCTGGTTTGATGGTTTATTTGGCTTTGGGGACAAGTTTGACAGGTTATGTGCTTGTGCCTTTTTTTTCTGGTTGTTTCGA